GGGGTTGTGGATAGGAATGCTGGTTCTGCCACTTACAGACCCAACCCCTTCATCTTCCTGAGCCTCAGTTGTCTCATCTTGAAAACAGATCTAGGGCCGGCCGAGTGACTCAGTAGGTTAAGAGCTCGCTCAAGAGTGCGAGCTCTGAGTAACAGGGTTGCCAGTTCGATTCCCAGCCCAAGCTGAGCTGCCACTGAGCTGCCAACAGGTGGCATGATGGCTCAGCTAAAAAAAAAAAAAAAAGAAGAAAAAAAAGAAAATAGGTCTAAGGAGGACAGGAATGTTAAAGGACCTGACACACAATAAGGACAAGGCAGCTCTCAGCCTTGGTTTCCCCATCTGTAAAATGAAGCCATCTCCAAGGGCCCTTCCAGCTCTCTGAACCGTCTTTGCAGTTTTGGGCCCCGTCTATCCAGCTGCCACCAGCAGAGGTCCCCTTTGCTCAACTCTTCCGCCATCTTTGGCCTAAAATCTTAGATCAACACTCACCAAAGACTTGGGCCCGGGGGAAAGCAGGGAACTCCTCCAGGCGGCGGAAGAGGTTGCGGTGGGTGTAGGCCAGGTCTCCATGCAGCTTGCGGAAGTCGCTGTACCGCTTCCAGACCACCACCTAAGAGGGACATGAGATGACTGGACCAGTGTCAGTGGGAGGCGGCCGGGGGGTGTGTGAGGATTAGGGCTGCAGCAATCCCTCCTCCCACGGCCAGGGAAGAAAGGGGGCTGGTCTCCTCGCAGTTACCAGCTGTTCCTCTACTGTCTTCAGACCTAGAATTGGGGACTGGTCCCCCTTTCTCCCAGGAGCCTCACCTCTTTGACATCCTCTGGGTCCCTCTTTGAGATGAACTGCAAGAAAGGCAAGAACCAGGTGAGACAGAAAACTGACATATGACATCTCATCACCCTATAAAACCCCACGATGCTCCAGATATCATCCCAGCTCCTCTCAAAGGAGCAGCAGCCACTGGCATCAAGGTGTCCTGGCTTTAAGGCTTTGACTGTNACTCAGCCCAGACTGGCCCTCCCTTTCCTAGGGCCTGCTGCCCATCTCCAGACCTCTTGCCCATCAGGGTACCAACCTGTCCCAGGTGGAGGGGAGCAGTGCCTATGCAATCTAGAAGCAACTGTGCATAGCACACTAGCTTTGATCTATTTGATTGGTGGAGTTCATATGCTTTTGTAAAAATAGCCCACCTTCCTAATTCTTTCTTTAGGTACACATTAGTTTGCAAGCTATGGGTCACTAGTCCTACTTCCCTCCTGACTACAGTTGATTTATCAATCCAAGAATTCCCTCCACTAAGTTTAATTGAAGGATGTTAGATCAACTACACCAGGCCAAGGGCAGAAATACTACAAGCACTGGAATCTTAGGATAATGGATTCAGAGAATCTTAGAGCTTTTTTGAGGTCTTACGATTTCAGCTGAGGCCCCACACATGAAGACAGTGGTCACAGACATCCTCATATTCCAGAGAGAAGGGCTCATTATATCCCCCCAGGACTGGCAAAGAGGTGGTCCAACATCCCCTCTGAAGCTTACACAGAAGAAGGCTAGAGATCTGGTGAATCTGTGATGAAAAGGCCTTTGAAGAGAAGTTGCAGGAGCATGAAGCACCATGGCTCACCACTGGCCTAGAGAGGGAAAGGTGGGCATCTCTTCAATCCCACCCAAGTGATCCCATGAGGAGACCAGGGGCCTCCTGCAGGACAGGAAAATGACATCTCACTTGCCAGCTGGACCTGCAGCTCTCCCTGTGCTGCTAATGGAGCAGAAGGCAGAAGCGTTCTTGGCATGCCCCAATACTAGAGTTCAGGAATTCGGTGTATGTGATGAAGAGAGAGACAGTGCTGGCTCCTTGCCTGGAGAATTCTGATAGTGAGAGGCTTACTGGAGGTGCCCACAACAGTAGGGCAAGGAGAGGAGGCGGCATCTAAGCAAGCGGCACTTCTAGGCTTGGAGGGAGGTGGGGAGGGAAGGCAAGGATTTGAGAGTTTTCCCACCGGCTGAGGGAATGTCTCATGGGAGCAACCTTTCAGGAGTCTTCAGAGACTCCTGCCCAAGCATCTGGCCACCGGGCACCCCAGGAGGCTTGGCTGGAGCAAGGCGGAGTGTTTGGACGCCTGCCTCTCAAAGTCTGGGTACATCAGCTCCAGTGACATCACCTCTGCCTTTCCCCTCCAATCCCTTCTTCCTCCTCCCCAACTCTGGAGGGACCAGTACAGGGAGGGTAGGGAGCAGAACTAGAAGAGCAAAAGAAGCCTCCTCACGCTCTTGTCACCAAGGCCTGAGCCAGGTGGGCAGGTGAGGCTGAAAAGTGGTTGGGAGACTGAGGTCCCTATTTGGATCAGACCGGAGTGTGAGAGAACTCAAATGCCTGAAATTGATCAGATAGCTACGGGTCTGCCAGGAGGTCACCAAAGAAGGGAAGCCAAAACATGGGCTTCAAGAGACTGCTGAGGAATCCAAAATGAAGCTGATTCATGATGATCCGGAAGTGAGATCAACCGCTTCAACAGCCCAGCTGCAGGAACAGCATAAAAGCAGAGAATTTCACAATGACAAGACCCAGTGTCTCAGAGCCTGGGATCGTCAGGTCCCCTGAGCTCAGAGCCAGGAGCTCAGGACCTGGACCTTCATGGGGGCTCTTTTGTTTCTAGTGTCCCCACGTGCCAGCAGCTGCTCCAGGGCCTTCCCCTGC